GAACATTTGGATAATTGTATTCGAATGGCTGCATCAAATTATACTGCAAACATTAAAAAAATTATCGATGAGTCTGAGTGTCAGCCTTCTCATTGAACGTGCTTTTTTATTTTTCAATGTTTATGTTCATGATAGTGCGTTACTTTTTTGTTGTTATTATTAACTATTTTTAAATCATACGTGACATGCCGTTGTGGCTGGATAAAAGTTTGTGTTTATTTTTCAAACACCTTCGTTTGATAGGTAGCAATGTAGCTATGAACAAGTACGTACTAGTAATATTAATTATTTTGTTATTAGTTTATTATTAGTTACCAGTTAAATAGTAAAATAAATACATATAATGATAAATTAACTGTGGATTATTTCATTTACGTTGCGTTACGTGGCTTCCGTGTGGGTAGCTCGCTGTTTATTAACAAAGTAGCTCAACACATTGAAGAGGTTGGCGACCATTGTCATACACGTTTATGATGCATTATGTCATCAATTAATTCAGTGATATTTATTCTAAATACAGTAAAACTATAAAATTGATATATTTCAGTTCAGAACTTGTTTTCAGTTTTCATTAACCTTGAATGAAAAAGTAATTCCTATAGAACGTGTATAACAAAATGAACAACGTACAAATTTTAATATTTGACAATTTCAAAAATTGTTTTGAATTATCTTGAATTGAAGTTTTTGTATCATATTTGTTATTTTTTTTTCGGTAAGGCATCGGGTACTGTGGTCATTGGCCTACATAACAATATGTATTTTTCAGTCGAATAGCATCACGAATCATCAATCTGGAAATATAATTCGACAATAGAATCTTGTGGAAAATTTCAATATCTCAGAAAGAATGTAAAGCGGCATGTGCTTCAGACGGTATTATTGTAATATGGTTGAATCGATTTCTATTCTGATCACTGGTTACTTCTTTAGAATGTATGACTGACTCCAAACCCAATAAACGTTTCTTGTAAACAAAAAAAAAATATGGTATCGATGAGAATGCATTCCAATTTGTTCAATTTTGTGACATCTTCGAGATAAAAACGTGAAACTAATTTTCAGTATAACATGGTGATCAACGACTGGAAAATAAGAGTTTTTTTTAATTCTGGTGATTTCAATTCAGTGAATCTTTCAGATAAAAAAACACAATGAGCATTGTTAAACAGTGATCTGTACTATATACACTATATTATACTATATGTTCATTCAAAAAGTATACTGCTAAACCATCATTTCAGACTAGCAATTAGGGATAGAGGTTCAGAAACATGGAGTGACCCAAGAATTGCAAAAAAAATGCACATACAATTTTGAAAAAAGAATACAGTCGACAGTTCAGAAACAAATCTCATTTTATATACAGTTGTGAACTGGAAATGATAGATATACTATACTTATTAGTTCTTCCTAAATATTTCATAAATCATATCATTGTTATCAGAAATAGTTCAAAAAATCTCAAAGGTTGTATTCGAAGATATTTTGTTCATTTTTAATTTATTCAATTAGAGACAGTTCAGTTTACTCAAACTAATATGTCATCACCTCTAGCATTTCATGGATTTTGGGAACATCACTCGATGACAAAACTAAGGCTCTCACAGTTTTTTTAGTTCTTCACTCATGAAATTTGGCCAATCAGAAAAAAAAAGATTTTTGATGATATATAATTATAATATATTTCATATATTAATTGCATGTTCATTATATATAAATTCCAAATGCATTTCAACAATATCCAGAACAATATTTCTCCTTCCAGTTCCAGCAAAAAGAATATCGTGATTGTTAACAGAAAATAACGATGTAAACTAGTGCACCCTGTATACCACAATTGGCTCCAATTGGCTTGATATCTTTTCGAAATTTCATGTCATCGTTGATCCTATTACATTTGAAATTGCGGAATCCTGCTGAAAATGAATTGATTAATTGAAGTATTTCAAACATTTTTGCAAATTTTTTGAAATGAATCCACAGCTCAATTTCAAGAATAAATTACATCTCAATTCCAATCTATATAATCATCCACATTTACAAACCCGTACAATGAACCTTTGCATGTCTAGAACATTTCACAGTTATTTGCCAACATTTGTCTCATCATCAGATATCATCAATTTTGATGATATCTGATTTTCACAATGTATCTTTTTCTTGCATATTATATCAGTTGAATCAGACCATAAACTATGAAGAATGTTCATGTGAATCATTCCAAGAAATGAATTGTTCAATATTGAATCCTGAAGGTTTGTTAGTTTCTGGAAATGTTCATTGGCAATAAAAATATAAAAAGAGAATTATTCTGAATATTAATAATGATTGGGTCATGTAATATGAATGTCCACTGCAGAAAAAGTATATATCCAGTCAAACCAGTTTATTCATCAATATTTATTTATCAATTATCATTTTTGAGGAATTGATAACCCAAGGATTCAACAGTTTTATATAACAGTTCTTGCCTTATGCATCACTGATCAATCAGATCTTGAGATCCAAAAGTCGCATATGAGTTCAGTTAACGATCGATCAACGAAATACATGATCTGCTGGAAACATCGCCGCTATCTGTGAGAGCGTGCAGGATAATCCAAGACAGTCGATTTCGCGGCGCTCACAAGACTTTTTTAGGCCTGAATTAGCCAAAGGACATGTGATGTCAACACAATGGCGCTACTTGCCACGCACCACGACGTGGTCATCTCACGTAGAGGTGACATGACCTGGCCTTCTAGATCGTGCGATTTGACCCCATTAGTCTTTTTCTTGTGGGGACCACAGCGGTCTTGAAAGCCAACATAACCAATGTCATCAGTCAAATTCAGCCTCATTTACGCTCCCCCCAGAGAAGCCGCGATGAATCAAAAATTTCGATGATATCCCATTTCAAAGATAGGAAGCGCTTAATGAAAGACCTTATAATTAAAAAATTCATAAAATCAATTATTGAGGCCTTTTATTTTTGTTATACCGAAAATCATACGTATCGTATCAAAACAGTAGCTCGAGAAAACACTTCAAGATGGAAAAATACACTATTAAAAAATCACCCCATTACTTTTTCACCTCCTCTTGCCTAATTAATTATTCTCTCCTGAAGAAGTCATAGTTGTTTCCAGTATATTTTCAAAATACGAAAAGACAGACACACTTTCTGCTGATTGTCGGGAACGGGTTTGATTTGGACCTTGTGAACAACATTAAAATAAGTATTGCAAAAGAAAATTATAATGGAATATGAATAAAAAGCAAAATTACTGAATACGAAGTAACCAATGGAGTAAAGTAATTATGAATACAATATTTCTGTAAAATAAAAATATCTATGAAAAAAATTGAGAAGAATATTCATGAGTTTTCGAATGAAAATCTGAACAAAATGAATATAATCAACTCTCTCACACAATCACACAATAAAATTCAGCAAATACTGAATGAAACTTAATATTTCCTTGGCTAATATCCCGATGGACGTTGAGTAAGATTCAATAGATATACTTTCCATTGGAAATATCTATTTTATTGGCCCCACTTAGCTCTCCTCGATTCAGTCACTAGACTTATTTGGTTTCTAATAAAATGCTAGTAGTTCACGGTGAATTGAAGGAGTTGACTAGAATGAAATATCGATTTGGGAATACCAATGAAAACAAGTGTCATGTCGTTCTTTAGTACAGGTCACGCAAGAAATTTATGTTTAAAATCATCAAGGCTAACCGTAAAAAAATGCTTTGTATATTACTTTGTCAGTTCGAGGATATCATCGATTTTTTGACCAAAACTGATCATGTACCACCTGAGAATTTCAAATGCACTGTTCTATTCATAGATGAACGTTTTGAAATAACACAATCAGTATAAATATGACAAAGTACTTTTAGTAGATAAATCAAAAATGTCAATATTCACGATAAATAACAGCCACACAATAACCCATGAATAGAGCAAACATCAAGAAGGCACACGAACAAAATCATTCTAGGCCTAAGTCAGCTTTCACTGTGAGAAACATGTTTAAAACAAATAATTTAAATAAAAACCGATTGAAAGAACTGCACTGCTAGGAATCCGAAGTCGTAATATACCTACTAATTGGTAGTCATTCTCAAAGTTATAAGACGAATAAATATTTCAATTAATTATATAATTCCAGCATAAAATTTGAATCTCGAACCGATCATCTATTCAGATGACTCCATTGTCGACGGGTTTCGAAGGTCAACTTTGGTGGATTTCAATACATATTTGTACACATTTTTGGGAACCCAAACGAAGTGGGGGTACTTGAGCGGAATCAGGAATATATAAATTTGAATGGGCAGAATTTTCTTCATATCGTCTTCTACTGTCGAAACAACACCAAAATGAAAGTGGTGAGTATGTTTACAATACCAGTCAGCATTCAGAGGTGTGAATCCTCAATTCAACATAGACTGTTTTTCTAAAAAATACTTTAGGATATCTGGATTTATAAAGTGATCTCATATCTCATAATTTTGTCATTATTTTCAGATCGCTCTTGCCTTAGCTCTCATCGCAGTAGCTGCAGCTGCCCCACCAGCCATTAAAGTAGCCAGTGGAGCTTCAAAAGATGCTGTAATCCTTCGTTATGACAGTGACAACATTGGTGTGGGTCCATATGCCTACAGGTAATTTGAAATCTTCACATTTAGAATACAATTTCATTTTCATGTTGAGAGCGAAATCCATAAAGCATACTGGATAATACGGTATGACTATGTTAAATTATCAAATTAACAAAATCTTTCACTTGAATACCTTACAGTAGATGATAATATTCATTGAAATTAAAAAAACACTATTTTCAAATAACCCTATGAAATGTAGATATTTTGAAGGGTTTGCTCAGGAATTTCATGGCCATTTTCCATTCGGTCGAAATGAATGTTTCCTCCTTATCACCTCCAGATATGTTAAAAATATAATTCAGAAGTGATATTTTGCTTGGCAAATTTTGAATTCAATTATTGAAATTGGAGGCACAGAATATACGTAAAGAAAGTAACCTTATAAATCTGTTTTCAGTGTCGAAACCAGTGACGGACAAGTGAAAGAAGAAAGGGGTGAAATTGTCGACGCAGGAACTAAAGAGGAACACATCGCAGTCCAAGGAAGGTTCAGCTACCCAGGTCTTGACGGTGTTCTTTATGAAGTAGTCTACGTTGCTGACAAAGACGGATTCAGAGCCCAAGGAGCTCATCTTCCAGTTGCCCCACAATAAATGATCGATTTGTAATATTTTTGTATAGCCATCTTCACTATTTATTTCCGTTGATATTCAACATTTCCGGTTTAATAAAAATATAAAAAAAATTACTGATTCTCATTTCAGCAGTCCATTTCGTTTTTGAAAGGGTTTTGACGAGTACACTGTCGGAAAGTGATATTGATAATTATCAAATCTATCAGACTTTCAAGATCTCCATTTCAAATAATTTTCCGTAGCACCAACTAGGATCCTTCTTGGTATCCTAAACATTGTTCCATAGCTTTAAATCCGTTCCTAAAAATATATTCATTGAGCCATATACGGTTATTAATTTATGTACTAACATTTTTTAAAGTGGTAGCCCTTGACATGAAAATTTTCATTTTTAATAACTGTTCTGTTAACTATTAGACCCCACACTTTAGATACCAAATACTGATCATACTTGTATTTCATTAGTTCGTACTTCCATTGTCTAATATGATATAGATTGATTTGAAATATCTGAAAGAGTCTGTAAAAAATTAAAAAGAGATCAGCTGAAAAATAACAATTATTCATATGAAGCAAAAAACTAAAATTACAATGAAATAAAATACAAGCAACAACCAAAATAAAAACAAAAAAAGAACTATTAACACGAGCTGAAAAATGAAATTAAAAAAAAATTATCAACAAAAACTGAAAATTGAAATTGAAAGATTCCAAACCAATGATCGGTAGGCCGTGAGTTTGATTCCCGCCCCGACCAGATATTTTTCTCGAGAGAATTTATCTGGTTGAAGCTGGGATGATTCTGCAACCGTGTTAGGAATCACACGTTAAAAGGTAAGACCTCGTTAGTCCTTAGCTCGCACAAGTTCTCAACTTTTGAGAGTTGTCG